TGTGAGCTTGAGGCCTCAGCAGAACCCTGCAGTGGGACCGTCTGCCCGGAGCCCCCCGCAGCCAGCGCTGCAGCCCCCGACACTCTGATCTCAAAGCCAGTTCCTTTGTTCCCCCCAGAAGCTTCCCAAAGACCTCAGGAACCCCTTTGATTTTTTTCTTTTTTAACATTTCTCCACAAAACAATATGAGGAACAAGAGGAAAAGCATGGCCCCCATCACAAAGCTGTCTCAACCAGAAAAACAGGCCTGCGTCCTGCCAATTCCACTTAGTTTTGGGAGCTCCCCCAGGAAGAAAAGAGGTGCAGACATGGGGTTAGGAATTACCACACATCTCCTGGGGGGAAGACCACTCTTCACTCAGACCTGGGTCTCATCACAAACCTGGGGGATCAAGGGTCCCTGCACCAGCCTACAACATGGTCAGACCTTCTGCCAAACTCCAACCACAGGACACACAAATGCTTAGAACCAATAGCATTAGAGTGAAAGGAACCTCAGAACTCATGTGGTCCAGTCTTCCATTTGTAAATGTAGAAACTCTGGCCCAGAGAGTGTCACCTTACAAGTCAGTCTGGTTGTTCCAAAGCAAATAAGAGCCAGGTGTATGAGCACGTACTGGATGCCTGACACGGTGCTAAGTCGTTATATCTGTCATTGCTGTTGATGCTCACAGTGAGGGAGGTATTGCTATAATCTCAGCTTTACATGCTAAGAAGCTATGGCCTAGAGAAGTTAAGTCACTTCCCTAAGGTCACACAGCTGTGAAGAGCAGAGTCAGGACTCTAATTCAAACCATTTTATTCCACCGCCTCCAGGCTAATTCACATCCTGCTGCGTCAGGACTGTAAGCAGGACCTCCAACCTCCCAGCCCAGTGGAGCCACTTCCGTTCCAGGTCCATTAATCCTGAACGTGGTCTTGACTATTTGCATTCCACTCAGCTCTTCCACAAAGAAGCCTTGAGACCCATCACTTGTGTCCTGTCCTGCCTCCCCCCGGACCTGTGATTCTCTTTTGCCGCTTAATTCTGCACCCTCTCCTTCCCCCCGCCCTACACCAAATCATGATGGCGGTTCCTTCCTCTTTAGCCTCAGCTCAAATGTCACCTGTTAGGGAGACAACCATCCCTTAGTGTCCATGATTGCCCCCTCTTCTCTTACTTTGCAGATTGCAATAATAAGTCTGTGTGTTTATGTATTGTGTCCTCCCCACTGTTCCTGGCCACACAGTGCTTGGCATGGAATAAACAATCAGAAGTTGTTGAATAAATGAACAAATGAATGAATGAACTAAAAAAGGAAGGCATACCTTAGTTCTTTACATAAATTACTGCCAAAATCTCTCGTCTTACACGTGTCCAAATGATTTTGTTAAACCTACATAATCCAAAAGCTCACCTGAACCGAGGGCCTGGTAATTAGGAGTGTGCCCTTCCAGGTCTTTCTCTATGCATTATAGATCTATGTATATGTAGTACCTATATAGGATCCCATTTGTGGAAAAGATGGTTTAACTATTTTACATGATATATTTTGCATATGCTGTATGTTCTCTGCATTATATATGTATTATATCATATATAATACAATATACCCACATATATACATTATCCTAAAGAAGGACATACTGTATATATTTTTCTGCAATTTTCTTTTCTTACTTAATCACATACGGTGAAACTCTTCCCTCACTACTGCATGTAGATCTGTCTCATGTCATTAAAAACTACATATTATTTTTCAAATAAAAATAAGTATAGTACTCCCTCTTGGAGGGATATTCAAATAGTCTAGGGATGGCAAGTAGAAACTATCAGATCACAAGTATCTATCTTTGCCCACTGTTCCCACCTCTCATAGGCCAGAAGGATTTTTGTATTCAAAATGAGGATGGATGAGAGTGTACTCATGAATGGCCAGGAGCAGCACAGGAATGGGGTGAGGGGGGCAGCCTGATGTGGAGGACAGAAGTATAGGATGGAGCTGGATGGGAACAAGAGAAACGGAACTGGAAAGAAAAGTTGGGGCCTAGGGCCGTGTTAGGCAATAATAGCAATGAGGGGGCAGAAAGTGGAGAGGAGAGCCAGGGACCACCCCAGTTAGGGACAGGAAGTCAGGAAAGAAGGGGGCTCTTTGAGGAGAAGAGAAGCATAATGGGGGCAGCGGCCTGGGTGAAGCCCCCAAGTTTTCCTCTTTCCCACTATCTGTCTCCCAATGGTTTTGCCACCTGGTTTTCCAACACCAGGAGCATTCGCCTGAGTGAGACTTGTTTATCTCCATTCTGGAGTCATAAAGTTCAAAACAAACTTCCAAACAAAGGGACCCTCTGCTCTGCGGTTCTCAGCTCCATTCTCTTGTGAGGGCAGAGCCAAGATTCTGCTTTCCTGATGATTTTCACAGCTGATTCCACCAAGGATCCCACCCCCAGCTTCCTCCTGCGTCCTTCCCGGCTGCCTCTGATTGTTGTGGACATCCTCACGGGTATTGCTTTTTTAGCCTCTTTTAACCCTTTTCTTCCTATCCTAATAACTGCGCAGGGAAGATAAGATTGTTTCCCCAACAGAAGCTAATTGGAGCTTTTAGACTGGACCAATGGTCTCTCCAAAGAGCTGAATTCATCAGCACCCAGCTGGGTGTAGTATTAAAAGAACCCTAGACAAGAATAACTGGTCAGTTAAGCCCCCTGTAATTGGAAAATTCTGAGGCATATTTTCATGGCCACCACTCTATGGAAAAGCCCAAAAGTTCTACATGAGTAGAAAATGACAGGACTGTCTCTGAGGGTGGGTATAAATGAGGGATGATATTAATAATTAGCATACATCGTCTTCATTTGCCAAGCATTACACTGAATATTATCATACACACAACAATCCATGAGGTAGGTACCATATTATAACCATTTTATAGATGAAGAATTTGAGGCTTATAGAGGCTGAGTCTCTTGCTAGTAAACGATGGAGCTAAGACTGAAAATCAGCCAGGCTGGAAACTGCTCCTGAGCTCTTAACCAAGCCACCGTCTTGTTTACCTAATTCACACTTGGCTTAGTTAGTTACTGTCTATCCTCACTCCTCCCCAAAGATTTATGCTCCAGGAGGCCAGGGTCCTTGTCTGTCTTCTTGTACACCCAGCTGCCAGCACAGGGCCTAGCACCGAGTAGACACACAATAAATGACTGCTGAATGAATGATATGCTTTTATTTGACTATGTAAACCTGAAATCTGAAAAGTTCTGAACATTGAGGTTTTGGGTGATAACTAAATATGTTCACTGAAAAGTCTTAATTTTACATATTAAATTTACCTGAACTTTCTCCCAGGGCAAAAAAGAATTAGAACCTAGCAAGTTACATGTAACTTGGGAATTGAATAAAGAATCTCAATCTGAAAATGTAGGGGGTCTCTAAAGAGATCTTTGGGAATCATTTAAGTATGTATTAAGCACTACTATGTTTTCAGTTTTTCTAGGCCTTTTCAGTAGCAAAGAGTGGTGAATCACCTGGGATGCTTGTTTAAAATGCAGAGCAAGGGAACCAGGAGCCATTTTTGCAGATCTCTCAGGTGATTACTATACAAACAAAATTGTGAGGCGGTTCCCCCTCCATTGGCAACAACTCCTAATAAGCTATCAAAACGTGTTTCAACCATTGACCCTTCAATTTGTCTAAAGATCCTTTAATGGCTGTCACATCTTGGGGTCCTGAGCCATATCAAAGTTTTTCACCCTGTGTAAGGTAGAAATATTGTATTTACCTAAAAGATGTTCTTTCCCCAGTTTTAAGAGGGTGGCCACCTACGCTTACCCTGGCCTCTCAGACTCTGATGCAGTGACACTCTCACAAGGGACCAACCTAGAAATGAGAAGCTCTAGTCCAGTTCTGCCACCACATGTTGTGTGTCTGAGGGCAGGTGGCTCAGCCTCTCTGACCCACTGTTTCCTTGTCTACAAATTGGGGGTGTGAGTGTTCACAGCTTTTTTTATTCTACCCGTGCTCTAACCAGAGACATGGTATAGACAGGGATTATGTGTCCTTTCAGTCTTGTTCTTTTACACTCCAAAATCATGGTTCTGTGACCACGCACTAGGTTCAGAAGGTGACAGGGCAAGTAGTCAGGGGAATGTAAAAAATCTCACCTCACTGAATTCACCATGACCAAGAGAATCAGAATTTAGGTCTCTTTAATACACACCTACAGAAACTGATTCCAGGAAAAAGAAAACTTTTGGCCATACAAAACTGGGTGAGCCAGTGAGGTTGAGTCATGAGGGTACACACCTGCTGCCTGCTGTTTGCCTCAGACAGGGAGGTGTTTCAAGGCGGGGGTTCCTGGAGCTTCTACTCTGGAGGGCTGCACGACATTCGATCCAGCAGAGACCTGGGGCATTCCGTCAACAAATATTTATTGATACCCACTATGTGCCAGGTGCTCTTCTAGGTATTGAGGGCCTGGCAGTGATCCCAACTGACAAGACCCATACTTTGATGGAGCTAATATTCTCATGGAGAAGAGGCATGATTAAAATTATTGTAACAAATGGGTCAGTGATAAGGGGTATGAAGGGGGAGGTAGGGACAGAAGTTAGCAGACTGGAGGAACCCCTAATCTCTTATCCACATGTCCAGTCGCCACCTTTTACACTTGGGGACGAAGAGGCAGAGACAGCAGTCACCTGCTCAAGACCAGACTACATCCAGCTGGTGAGAAGCAGAGTTGGAAGTGAACACTGTCTTCCTGCAAAGCCAATCCTTTCTTCACAGCCCCTCCCGATACAGGGTCTATTTTCCTATCATGGTCTAGTCCTTAGACCCCAGAATCAAGGGAGGGAAACAGCGCTCAAGCACCCCCTTGTTGGCCGCAGGACACAGGGTCCCATCCGTCCCCCTTCACAGCCCAGCACCCAGGGAGAAGCCCGGGCGGGGCGGGGCCTGGACACGCGCCGACGCGTCCAGCAGGTGGCAGCAGCGAGCGGCCGCGCCCCCTGCGCAGCCACCCCGAGAGCCGGCATCATGGATGTCGAGCTCTCCTATTTCGCTTTGCTCGCCTTGGAATTCGAGACCCCAGACGAGGACCAGGATTCATGAACCGGTCGCAGGGGCCCGGGCAGGGGCCTCTGGCTCCCGACGCTGGCCGAGAGGTGGGTCCTGGGGCGGGTCGCTGCTCGCGGCGCCCGGGTGGGGACGCCCTGCCCAGCGGAGCCCGGAGCCCCGCGCGCTGCCCCCGCCCTGCCTCCCTGTGGTCCACACCCCCTTTGGGCTCCCGAGCCGCCGGGCTGCAATAGTCGGGGTGCGCGCGAGCAGGCGCTGCCAGCCCTGCTTCTGCCCGGCAGTCGGGTCCCAGGAGCGGACGGACCCGGCGCCCGCGTCCTCTCTGCCTCCTCCTCCTTGCTGCTCTCACCTGCGCCTATTAGCCCCCTCGCCTTCAAGGCCAGGGGCTACAGCCCAGACTGAGAGGGGGACAGCAGAAAGAGAGAGAGCACCTGAGGTTACAGAGCTGACACTGGACTGCCCTTTTCACCCCCAGGTGATGAGTGAGGTCGGAAGATCGCAAGATTTAAAAAGCATCTGGAGTCTCCGTATTGAAAGACCCAGTGCAAAGGCATCACCATGAACACGAGCAGTAAGTGGGTCCTCCTCTTCTTTGCCATGGGAACAGGGTGGGGGCGGGAGGTGCAGGAGCCGGCGCTGGGGCTGCCTGGAAGGAGGAAGGAAGCCTGGCACGGGGGGGACACATGGCCCCCAGACTCCTCCTTGGTCGTTTCTGTGCTCCCTCCTGGGCACAGGGATGTGGCTCCGGCTTTTCATGATGATGTGCTCATGTTTTATTGGCAGCGCCACTTGTCTGTGTGGGGAAGGCTGCTTGTCTCCTTCTAGCAATGCCTGGCAAGGCCTCGGAAGCAGTAGTGTGGCCATTGTCTGACTCGGGGGGGCTCTGAGGAGACCTCTGGCCTCACAGCTGGAAAGCCAAGGAAGGCCCTGCTTGTCCTGGAGCCGGGAGGAGCAGGGAGGCTGGCCTCGGGCTGGTGGGTGGGTGAGTGGATGTGGGCAGGCCGTGGGATAGGAACGAGCAGTTTGATAAACAAATCATCAGGAAGCCACCTTTGGGTCTGGAGACTGTGAAATATCCTGCTCTTGTGTGCAGGCAGCCCCAGGGACACAGGGCTGATTTTTTTCACACACCTGCAGGCTCTTTAGCCATCATGAGAATGAGAGAAAAGAGACAAGTCCTTTAGCCAAGGTCTCTTAACATCCCAGAAGCAGCAACTGCTTTGCAGAGCCAGCACCAGACATTTTGCTGCTGGGCTGAGCCTCAGCTGCTGAGAAATGCAGTAAGAAATACGAGGCCCAATCCTTTTCTCCTCAGTATAGTCCCTTTGACCATGGGCACCTGCTGGGGCGGGTGGCATGGGTGCCACCTGGAAGGAGGTCGGTGTTCAAGTACCCCCTCCTGCCTCCCGACCAGCTTTGCTTGTTTGGGTTATTTAGCAGCAGGTGGGGTTGTTGAACCAGAGAACCCCTAGGAACATTCACTTCCCTGGGTCTATGACTTTGCCATCTCCTCTCTGGATCCCAAATTGCTCATCTGTGAAATGAGAAGGGTTGAATTAGAGGTCCTTCTAATCTAAGAATCTGCAAGTTTCTTCTAAAAAAGCTAGAGCTGAGAAGCAAGGCCATAGAAATCTGAGGCTGTGCCCAGACCAAACCCAGTTTCCTCACCCTCGCTCCATTTTAAGGCTTATGGCATGGAAGGGGGGAAAACAAAGCGAAAGCCAGGGAGATGGAAATGAAATATATTTATTTACTATGTATTTGTATGACTCATCTCTCTGCTGTCTTCCTTTGTGTATTACATAGCTATGCTAAGCAGGCGAGTGTAGCTGGACTCCCTCTGCCTCTTACAGCCCAAGAATTTTGCCTCTTGATTTTGACAATCTGGAACAGGGCCACGGCTTCACACCAGGCTCAGGAAAAGAGCAAAATTAGGTAGAACTGATCACCTAATGGGCCACATATTTGCATCTGTGTGCTCTCAGACATGTAAGGATGTGAACTGCCTGTCGCTTCTCACTGTCTCTAGGGGAAAAATTTTTTTATGGGAGTCCTTTCTCACTAAACGACAGAAGAGAAAGATGGCTCATTTATTTTTCAAGGAACTAAGAAATGAGGTAACAAGCAACAGACCCTGCCTTTTTCTCTCTTTGGAATCATAAGGAACTCTCGTCCCGTTAGCAACACTGAGTATTCCTGAGAGAAGGAAACAGATTTTACTTTTTTTAAATTTTCAAATAACAACCAATAGAATTGAATACTGCAGAAGAAGAGGACTAACAAAAATGCCATTCCAGCCTCATATACTTTTTCTAAGTGGGGAGAGTGTGTTTATTTTCTGGGAGTAGTGGAAAATAAACAGAGTGACTTGGACAGTCTTGGGGGCCCCTGAGGTTCCCTAAGAGGAAGTGCTTCTCTAAAGGGCTGCCTGGGGGCACACTGGAGAAACTCACACTCAGGCTTAGAGGCTGGGCTTCATCATCATTGAGGTTCCTCCCCACCCTGGGAGTCTGCAAAAGGAGAGGGTAGAAATCAGACATTGCAGGAGTGAAGGAGTGACAGGGTCATAAGGTCACAGGGACAGAACGTTGGCATGAGGTCCTTGGAGTGATCCGATGTAAGCAAAAATGCTCTCCCCTTTAGGATGTGAAATTCTTAACTCAATCCTCATGCCTGAAATTGAACCTAAGAGAAACTGTTACTCGGTTTTTCTTTCACTTCCACTTACTGAGTCCTCACTCTACCGGCCACTGGGCTATGCATTTCACCTGCACCGTCTACCCAGACTCTCACATCCAACCTGTGAGATGGGCATTATTGCTCCAGTTTTACAGGTGAAACCTTTTAGCTAATGTTCAATAACTTCTTCAAGTCGTGCAGCTAATTGTTGGATTTTGAAACGTACTTGGATGCATAACATTTTCGACAGTGTGTGCCATGCCTAACCAACCATTCAGATGTCACCATTGAGGTGGGGGCAAAGCATGTGCTTATGATTACATTGCTAATCACTTCATCTGGAGAAGAGGAGCCTTGGCTACAGTCTTACAGCTCATAAGAGTTGATATAGCTCGGGGCCTGCAATCAGGTGGGCCCTGCAATCAGGTGGGCCCAGGTTCTAGTTCTCCTATTTTCACTTATTAACTGTGTGTTCCTCAGCATGGTTGTCTCATCTGCAAAATGGGAATGATGGGACCTACCTCAGAGTGGAATGGAGATAATTGTTCATGTGTCATGTAAAGTTCAGAGAGTGGTAACCGGGACATAGCTGGCATCATGTTAGCGATGGTGGCCAGGCTGTCATTGTCACTGCAGTAGTCATTGTGGTTCTTGTCATGGTTGACTTCATGAAATTAGCGAGCAGGTCACTCAACCTCTCCGATGTCACATCTTTGTCATAAATTGAAAGGAATGTGGAAGTGTGATCTTGATGATTAAACAGGATTGTGAGAGATTGCTTTGTAAGTATATGTAAATATTTAAAAAAATTATTTATTTATTATTTTTGGCTGCGCTGGGTCTTCACTGCTGTGTGCGGGCTCTCTCTAGTTGCGGCGAGCAGGGGCCACTCCTCGTTGCGGTGCACGGGCCTCTCATTGCAGTGGCTTCTCTTGTTGCAGAGCATGGGCTCTAGGTGCGTGGGCTTTCAGTAGTTGTGGCTCGTGGGCTTCAGTAGTTGTGGCTCGCGGGCTCTAGAGCACAGGCTCAGTAGTTGTGGCGCACGGGTTTAGTTGCTGTGTGGCGTGTGGGATCTTCCCGGACCAGGGCTCGAACCTGTGTCCCTTGCATTGGCAGGCAGATTCTTAACCACTGCGCCACCAAGGAAGCCCCTGTAAATTTTTTTTTTTATTAATAAGAAACACGTCTCAGATGGCAAAAACAGGGGAGTGCCCAGTCAGTGACCCCTCAGAGTACATTTTAGTTTCATCAGAATTCTTTCTTCTGAATTCTAGCTGAGCTTTAGCACACCACAAAGCAGGGCTGTGAGAGAAATGGGTAATTTTGGAGATGTAGAGTGGGATGGTGGTCCAGACCTGGCAGAATGTAACAGGTGGGCTCCAGCCCTATGAGCCAGTAAGGAAAAGGGGAGGAGGGCTCCTTGCAAAGAGAACAAGACACCAAAGGCATGAATGGGACACCCAGGGCTAGTACTGAGATGCTACCTCCCCTGGGCCAAGGGCTTCTGGGAAAACAGAGTCATCATTTGTACCTTGGCCTCTGTGGGGTGGGTCTACTGTCCAACCTTTCCTTCCCCCTGCACACCTGATCTAATTCCAAGGATCTGTTATTTGACTCCCAACCTGCTGAGGCAGCCTCCTAACTGGTCTCCCTTCACCTACTCCAGCCCCCTCCAGTCTCCTCATCCACCCTCCGCATCACACTTCGCTGAAAATGCAGATCCCATTGCTCTTAAGATGCGAGAGGAAACCCCTCAGCAAGGCCTGGAGGGTCCCCTGTGGCCCAGCCCTGCTCACAGCCCAACCTCATCCACATGTGCCTCTGCAGTCTCCATGTTCCTGTCATGTTTGCCTCCTTCCATTCCCTCCTGGAAAGTTCCCTGCCACCAGCACCAGCCCCTCTGCCCACCACCCCTGTTCACCCAGGATGGCCCCTCCTTACCTTCCCAGCCCCAGTCCAGCTAACAGTCGCCGATGATGTTCTCCTCTGTGCACCTTGGCCCTGTTCCTTCAGAGCTTTGTCTGTGTCATCACACACTCACCCCTGGGTCTCATTTTCCTGAACCTACAGAGCAAGAAAAGAGCTGACCCCAGACCCCTTGCTCTCACATAATCCCCAGGGCCATGAGGGTCTCACCACCTAATGTGCATTTTCTTAGGCGACAGTAAGTCCTTGGTTATTCCCTGTCAGTGTCTCCCATTCCCTGTTGGCCCCAGGAGTTCCCAAGACCTGGGAATCAAAGCCAGGGGAGACTGAGTTGACCCCAGAGCATCAGAGGCCCTGAGCACCAGAGTCAACTATGTGTGCCGTAAAATGCTGTGCTTTGCTTGGGTTGGAACTCCCAGAGCTCCTGAAGCCTGTGGCTTTCCTAGGCACAGAGCCAGCGATGGCTCATCCTTGAGGTTGGAGAGCATCCTGCATACCATGTACAGTGGTACCAAGAACCATGCTCCCTCATTTCACTGGCTTCTTCTGATGGCCCCTTCCTTGGTTGTTATCAGGGATTGGCATGCCAACAAGCTACTTTTCTGAAGTAGACTTTGTTTTGTTGAAGAGAGCATTAAGGAGTCATATAACCCTCACAAAGATGTCATGGGATAGCAGACAGCACACTGGGGCAGTAAAAGCCCAAGCTTTGGGGTATGGATTCCTGAGTTCAAATTTAAGATCTGTCATGTAGTCTCTCTGTAATGTTGGACAGGATAGATCATGTCTCAACCTGAATTTTTATCATTATAAAATGTTGGCAGTAGTGCCAGTCGGGTTGTTGTGGGGATTAAGTGAAATAACAGGAGAAACTCAGTGGTGGTGGGTCTCAGGGAATGAAGTTGAATCTTAAGTTGAGTTGGCCATTGAGTAGAACAAAGTTCTGAAATGATGGTGTCATAAGAG